AAACAAAGCAAGAGGATTTTTGCTGACAGATTTGAAATGTAAGTTAAGAAAATAATTTATATTATTGTTACGATTTAATTTATCGTTATTTCTATAGGGGAAAACATAAGAATAAAACAACAAATGTCATAATTATCGAGTTTATGGAAAAAATCAAAATATTTAAAGAGAATTTACAAAACATAACAAACGTAATTTAACACCCAATTGCGTCTTTATTCAGTCGATAATGTGATATAAATCTGTAAAGTAAGCATGTATACAAACATACAAGTAAATGCAAGCCAAATTTCGCATGCGACTCCCCCGGTGCGTCAAGTGGATTACTGTGATCTTTTAATATTTTCCTTTTATTACTCATTGTTAACTTTCGTAGACTTCATTCAGCATTTCAAATATATAAAACGCTTCCTAATTTATTCATTTGCAAATTTTGTCACATTAGTAAACAGCTGATTCGAGTATTGGTTTTGCATATGTTCTAAAAGACGCAAATCCAATAGGATTCTGTGACGCCATTCAAAATCAGAATTGGTTTGCAATTCTGACAACTACGTAAATCTGTCTTGGATTCCACAACACCCCTGTATATCTTATTAAGCGCAAAGTAAGACACTCATAGTAGACAGAGAATTTCGCATATCACCATAACTACTCTGCTCGTTAAGTCCGGAACGTCCCTGTTGCATGAGTCTATTTATCCACTTTTAAGTTCGGCAACTGATGGTATTGGGTAGAAATGTTCACAAATTTTGATTATCATAATTGTTTGCAACTTTGGCGGCTTGTTTAGCACGATTGAGCATAATTTACATGGTTTTACAAGTTAAATATCTTAACAATATAACAATTCATTTTAAATCTATGTGTAATTCAAATAGCTTAGTACAAAGCGTTACTTTGTTACAATTTCTACTTAAGGTTTAATTTTAGATTGCTTTACGATTTGAATACTTAACGATGCAATAATACAATTTGGTTTTTTTTTTCTTTTTATATGTAACTAGAATAGTTTAGGACAAAGCGTTATCTTAATTTATTACAGGTTTTATTTTTTGTTGTTGTAATAATTCAAATTTGATGAAAAGAAAAAAAATTATTAATTGTTCTTGTGACTTTATTTGCATGTGTGTTAATTTATGTTACTGTTAGACATATAAGGAAAATTAAAATACTCATCTGAGATTACTTTTATGAACTTTTTTCCCGTCTATTAAAATCATAGTACCTAAATTTCCTTCGGTCGTTTTTTCACTAAAAATTTTACTAAATTTATTTCTCAATCTTTTGTTTCTTTTCAAGAAAACCTTGTCTCCAGGCTCATAAGTTTTCATTCCTTTATTTTGATTATACCGCTCTAGGGTATTTTCCTGTGTTTTAACCAATCTTTCGTGGACTTCGAATAGCTTTTCAGGTGAACAGTTATAAAAAATATCAATGGGCCTGGCATTTGTTGTAGAGCGAATGGTATGGTTGTATTTATGTGTCGCTAAAAGAAGGAGATCTACAGTTTCGTTCAGCTGTTGCTGTTCTTTAATGCAACGGGCTCTCCATAAGAGTTGTGTGAAACCTTTCGATTTGCCCGTTGGTTTCATTATGCAATGTTGATACAAAAAATTGCGTAATTGAGAAATTATCTCTTAAGATGGTTTTATTAAATTGGATTGGAAAGATTTTTCATTATCTGAAACAATTAACTTTGTGTTTTGGAATATTAACAGCATTTCGAGTAGTGCATCCTTAATATCTAATGAAGATCGGGACATCGATGCATTTTAGAAAATGCTGTTTATCTGTTATAAAAATGTCGAGATGTAAAATTTCACCAGGATAATTGGGAATTGGTGTTTTTCCTATTGCTAAATTGATTGGTTTACGCTGATACTTGTTCTCCAAGCATATTTTACGATTAACAATTATAGATTTTAAAAGCTTTTTAATGTGGGGAAAGTAATACTTGCTAGAAATTTGCTTGAAATACTCTTGCAATGAACGATGAGCGCGGTTATGCACAGTGGCAACCGTTTCTAGTTTTGGTTCGTTAAATCTATTACCAGTAGTTCCGTATGTAAAAATTTAGCTCCAGAATAAGACGATACCAAAGGATTATGAATTTTTGCTAATGTTTAGAGGTCACAGTGTATTGCGTAAGTCGTATTTGGATTTATCACATCTTTTAAACATAATAACAAGTTTTCTATAGTGTCGAAACTAATTGTGTGGCGGAAAATTTTTTGGAAAAGAATTTTTGTACGTTTGTTTACAGTTGCGCCTTTTACAAAATCAGCTGGATTTTAAATTGATTTACTGCGACCTTTATTGTTTTAACTACGTAACTGAGAGATTGTTCGCTATGTACTCTTTCGCTCAATTCACTAAGATTGTTAATGAATTGCCTAGAGAGGGCATCAGCCACTATGTTTTCCCTTCCCGGCTTATAATGTAAGGTTGTTGAAAAGGCACGTCATCTCTTCATTTTAGTATTTGGATTATTGGAAATTGAAAACGTAAGTGGTTGATGATCGGTAAAAATATGTATGTTTTTAATACCATATAGATACTGACGGAGAGTTTTTAAAATTCAAACTACAGCTAGCACTTCGCGTTCATTTGTAGCAAAATTTTGTTCAGTTACGGAAAGAGTCCGCGAAATCATTGTTATGGTTCGATTATTTTGGGATAACACTGCACCCAAAGTGTTAGACAAAGCATCGGTCGTTAATTCAAATGGCTGATTATAGTCAGGATATTGTAAGAGGACGTCTTCCGATGAAAGGATTTTCTTGATTTTAACAAATGCAGACAAAGCTTCTGGATCTAGAGTGATTTTAATTTTTTTTTGATGTACCTCATTCTTGACGCTTCTAGTTTTTTTAATATGGTATTGACATGGACTAAATGTGAATTCGCATCGGCAGAAAAAATAATAATGTCATCGATATAAAGATGACACGTTTTGCCAATATTTTCTCGCAGAACATCATCTATTGCGCGTTATACTTGGCGCATTCCTTAAGCCGAATGGCAATCGACACAATTCGTATTTGCCAATATTCATATTGAATGCTGTCTTTTGCCTATCTCTTTCGCGCATGTTAATTTGATGAAAGCCCGATTTTAAGTCTAGGGTAGTGAAGTAGCGTGACTTGCCTAAATTCGCTAGTATGACAGTAGTGTCAGATATAGGGTATCGAGCAGGGATTGTTTTCTCGTTGAGTTTTCTAAAATTAATTACCATTCGCAACTTCTGCTTTCCATTCTCTTCGGTACCTTTCTTTGTCACGACATGAATGGGTGAGTTGTATGGAGAGCAGGACTTGCGTATTATTCCATCCTTTTTAAATTAATCGGTTAAATGTAAAACAGTGAGAGAAAGCAAATATCAATCAAAATTAAGGGGGCCATAATAATAAAATAATTACACAATATTTTAAAGACCAAAGCAAATACAAATTTCTTTTATTTCTAATATGAAATAAAAACCCCCAAATTATATTTAATATTTTTTACGTCTTTACAGATCGTAGTTCCAAAGAAATGGAAACATCACAATATTAAAATAAAGTGGTCACAACCTTAAAGCAATAATACTAATAATCCACAATATTTTCTTTCGATTTCAGAAATCCATTTATTCGATCATTCCTACTGATGAAAAATGGCGCACACATACAAATGAGAGTGCAATGAAATCAATAGAAGGTATTAATCCAGTTGAGTTAAAGAAACATTCTAATCTTTCTAATGAGAAATTTTAAGCATGAATTTTCGTAATATCGAAAAATTGTATTGATATATCATAAGCATTTTTTCGTATAATAACAAACTTATCATTATATACTTAGAACAATTTTATCCTACCCCACACGGAAAGAAGAAAGAAATTTGTCGTCAAATTTAAGAGGTTTTAGAATACTAAAATATAACATCTCTGATTCAAATATTTAGTCAATATTTGATAAGCTTTAAGTCATTTATGGTTCTTATATAATATTGTTTACCACAAAATCTGGTGAATTTAATTACAAAGGCTCGATCCATAGACTTTATAATAATGGAATATGCATACAGTTTCGACTGCAATTTCCTCAAGGATTCCAGTGGTATAAAATCATTCAGATACTTGCGCCAGTTTACAACACTGGTTAAATGATTATTACAAAAAACAAAATTAGCTTAAAAAAATTACGCCTTTAAAACTGATACATTGTGAACATAATATACTTTCCTGAATTTTGCCCCAAGGAAAAGGTTGAATTTCTTTTCGGAATCAATAGACGCTCCAATTAATTAGTTTCATCATTTTTGTTTCCTCATTAAAATGCAAAAATAAACCATTGTCTTTGCATGAAAAATATAATTTACTTTAGGTTTCGTTTGGTTTCTTCAATGTTATGGCAACTAAATAATATAAAGAAACATCAAGTGTTTTTATTCGTTTTCCTTTGGTTCTGAAATCGAACTGATTTCGTTGTTGTATCTATTCAAATTACTGACCAGCAAGCAAATAAAATGTATTTAATTTTCCTGAAATCGGTGTATCAATTACGCATATTGTATATGTATTTTTTACTTGTAATGAATTGGGTTAAATTATTAGACATTTATTAAAATCATTTCACTTGTCTAATTACGCCAAGAAGACGTCTCCATCCTACCTATTACATCAATGCTATGAGTAAATACTGTACGATTCTCTCTGTGCATGCGACCAACTATTAAATGACTGAAATTTTGATTTATACGTTCCCACATTCACTAAACAATCTTACATTCAAAAATGTATCAGGGGTACAACACTCTTTCTTTAAATTATCATTTGCGAACAAATAATAACAAAAAACATATAATATTAAACTACAAATACGTTAACTGCGCGTTAATAAGCAGGTTATGTGGAAATAAAAAATAAAAATAATATATAAAATTATACCATTTTACTAGGAAACAGAATAAAACTTTGTAATTTATGATCAAATAGAGAAGCGGACATCACTTACCTGATCCGAACTGGGCGACCGACTTTGTTCTTCCTTATTTTCAATTTTCTTTGGACTTTTAGGATTTCTGGAGTAAGGATCATTAGCGCCATACAGGTCAGGACACGCCACACTCAACAAACAAATTTTTTGTACAATGTCAATAACAACAAGCCCATATTCAGTTCCATATGCCATACTGAAATTGAGTAAACACACGTATGTACCATATATTATATGTACATATTTTATTGCATGTTTTTACAATTGTATATATTACACTATACAACTCTCGACTGGGTGTGGACCAAACCAATTTTTTTAGAGAGATTGAGTCATAAGTGAAAGAGTAATTTCTACGTTTTTTAAAGTTCGCCTCTAAATTCGATATAGTATTTGCCTTCGAAGTTTGAAATTAAGCTTCTTTAAAAAACACTTTATAATTATAGTACCTATTTTACTATAAAGTAAAAATATGGACCTAATTTACCTTTTGATCTTATTTCAATGGTATATAACATTATTCGGTCGAATTTATATGGAAGCTGCTTTAAGAGGTCAAAGCTGGATCTTCGATAGAAATAAAAACTTTATATACTATTGAAATATATATTAAGGATGATAAAATATTTTCTATCCAACCGATTGGACTGAAACTTTAATATGTTTTTACTCATCAATAGCTCTCTTAGGAACTAGGATTATTTTATCGCTAACTTTCGATTTAACAGCCCGATTTCTACTTAAAAAATTATCACTTTTTTTCGAAATCAACCAGTTTTTTATTTATCAACGAAATTGTTTAATCCTATTTCCAACTAGAATGACAAGCTCACATAACAATAATTCCTTTGACCTTTTATATTCCAGATGTCCTCAAGCGACCAAAACACCTCCTTTGTTTTGAGACGCTCACTTCAGTGCTACAAAACAATAAATTAAAAAAAAAAAGACAAAAATAATTTTTTTGTACACTCTGAGATACTTTTAATAATATTTTACCAAATGAAACTGATTGAATTTTATTTTTTCTTAATAAAATATTCCCAAAAAATGCAAATTACCGGACTATGAATATCCAACCACAAATTAGACATTTTAATAATGATTTTGTACTTTTAATTACTAAACAAAATACAATTAATATTCTTCAATGTAATGGCAAGCAAATAAAAGTTCTCTTGTAATTTTAATTAATAGACAAAATACCATTAATATTTTCTTTTAAAATTGTCTATGTTATGTTTTTAATAATTATATTCAAATTCAATAAGTATTGAAAAATACAGTTGGACAATTGGCTCGTAAGATATATATAGCATTTTGAGTCAAGTTTTGGTATTTAAAAAAAACATGGATAAAAACCACTTTCGTTTTTTGATGAAGCAGTATATATTAAAACAAACGCTGCTAATTGATTCAAATCGCTGCTAATCGTATCGAACTACTTCCTCATTCTCCGAATCTGACCTCTAGTGACTTCTTCCTGTCCTTCTTACGTGATTTATGTGAAACATAATCAAAAGGAAAACAATGACGTTCATTACAATTTAAAATAGAATATGTAGTGCTTGGTAGATTTGAATTTTTGTGAATTTTAGAGTTTGAATACATTTAATATCTTTAAAGAAAACATGTGACTTTGTTTTTTATTCATTTACGAACGTTTCTAACTGCATAATTTACCAAAATTAATCTTCAAATATTGTTTCTCTTTAAACCAGGGACATAAAAGAACAGTTATTGTTTAATTTTTGACAAAAAAAATTCATTATGAGGGAACGGTCGGATATATACTTGTATAATGAAGAAATAGAAAATTTTTGTTTTTGTGAGGACGTCACAAATATGTCAAAAACTTGTAAATTTACATTATTTTTCCTCACAAAATAATCGTTATATTTTTATTTTTATTTTTCGCTTACAAAATAAGAGTTATTTCTTAATTTTTTTTTATTGCTCACAGAATAATAGTTATGCGGTGAGTTTTATTTAACTCTTACGCAATAACAGTTGAAGAGTACGTTTTTTTTTTGTCTTGACAAATAATACTCTTACGCTAAGTTAATATTTATCAATGTATTTGCTGCTGTGCATTTGTAGGATTTAAAATATTTTTAGCAATCGAGGTTGTAAAAGCGACAATAAAAAACCAAAAGCCATTTCAGAAATGACTGGAAAGAGAAACATCCTTGGTTAGACATAGATTCTGATCTTAGACAAGGTAAAAATATTCGTGGCGTTACAATCATTGGCCACCTGTTTCACTTACAACGTCATGTTAAAAATTATATGCACTTATAAGATGTAAATGCTGTAACGCGTAGCATTCGAAAACCATCTCTAAGCAGTCCTTAAACAGGCACAAGGGTCAGAAGATCATAACGTCGTTAACTGGGCCTGAAAATTGCAAACATATTTCAGATATTAATCATTGGTAATAGACTAAAGCACAGATGTATATATGAACTAAAAACCATAACATAGACAACCTATTTCGTTATATAAATTACCACTCCTGCCACAGCGCCAGCAGAAGAGCTAAATTTGTAAAAACTTTGGAAGCGAAGTTATATCATTTTATGGTATAGTCCACCACGATGGATTTCTCGACAGGTAAAATTTGTACTGATATTCGGTGTAATATTATTGTGCACCTGTATGTGTATAAATATTTTTAGATGGTAGTCAACAGAGTTCTAGAGCAGTGGCCGCCTTTGCAATACTATTTTAATAATAATAATAACCCAACGATTACCCTCCTCCCGCCCAACCGACGCGAGGGGCGCAATCCGCATACGTGCGGAATTAGCCGAGTCAGAAAAGGCAAGAGAGTTTTTTAAGTGTTGAGATCTAAAACTGCTTAGCTACAGAAACAAAAATTTCAACAGCTAAGATCTAAAGTTACAATATAATAAATTGTTACATTTTCATTTATTAAGAGAAAACAATAAAGTCTTTTTAATTTTTTTTACCCTAGGCAACTTTGAAAAATCGATATACATCGATAATACAAGTACTACATTCAAATGCAAATAGCCTTTCAGATGATGAAGTCAAAGTATATTTTTACTTTCCGTCTTATATATTGAAATGCTAACAGAATAAGCTCGCATCCATATCCTTACAACTTATCTTTATTATTTACGCATATAACATGTAACATTATTTTAATAGAGAAATTTGAAAGAAGTAGAGCACAATGCCTTGATTTCTACAAAAATCCGCTAATCTTAGATATATTTTGTGGTACCGAGACCAAAATATTTTATACATTGAGGATTCAGAGAACTCTGATGTCCACTCATAATTTATATTTTGTTATTATATTTACTCGTACTTGACGAACGGCAACTATACTCACGGTATTATATTTACGCAATTATTATTGTATTGTATTTCAAAATCATCACTTACAGTCCATAACTGGAATTAATGCATAAGGATGTGACTTGGACATTTCTTCTGTTTGGGCCAGTAGTCAGACAAACTAATTGCGATTGAAACCCGGGGGGTTTTCGTTGTGAGCCCATTTTTACTTTCAACAAACAGTCGGCCTGGGAAAAATTAAACAGACATAAAAATTAGTTAATTTAGTTTATTTATAATTAAAAACAACTTATTTAAAACGTGATGTTTTGATATTGTTCTATTTCTTACAATTTACTAAAATTTGATTAAAAAAACAATAATTAAATTTTTCGCACGAACGATAAAACTAAGAGAACTATAAAAAACTAAAATAAGGGGTTTACTGTTGACGATATTCCATATAATTGTCAAAAATTTTAATAGAAACACTATATCATCTTTAAAGAAAAACGGGGGAATACGTTAACTTCGGTTGCACCGAAGCTATAACACCCTTCACACATACAAAAAAATCCACACTATAACTTGATTTTGATCGGTCAGTTTGTATGGCAGCTATATGATATCTAAAAAAATTACTTTACACAATAATCGATTTGAAAGATATATTCGGTAAAATATCTTGTAAAATAAAAACAAAACCCATACAAGAATTAATTTTTGATCATTTAGTTTGTATGGCAGCTATATGCTATAGTAGTCCGATATCGGAGGTGTGCAAACAGTCAGATCAATATCTCAAAAACTAAGGGACTAGTTCGCGTATACACAGACAGACGGACGGACGGGCATGACTTAATTGGCTCAGCTCGTCACTGATCATTTAAATATATACTTTCTAGGGTCTTTGACGTTTCCTTCTGAGTGTTACAAACTTCGTGGCATATTAAGTACCATGGTTTAGGGAATAAATATATATTGCAGAAGCAAAAATGATCCCCTCGAATCATGATAAAATATATTTATAAATTTAAATGTATCGAAGATTATCAAACGTGCATATCTTTTTAATTTAAATAATAATATAAAATTAACTCATAAAAAATTTACCTTATCAGAATCACTTGACTCGGTTTTTTGAACTTGATGTGGTATAAAATCACACTCTGGACTCGTACCATAAATATCGTCGAAGTTTTCATAAAGTATAGAAATCTCTAACGCCATAACCTCAGACGTTAATTCGACTTTTCGAAATTTAAACAACATAACTTGTCCCACGGCACCAGCTACACATAATCGACGTGATTCGGAACAAAGATATATATGATGTATGGCAAATGGATTATCGTTACCACTATCTGAGTGTGAATTTTTCGGTTTTTCAAAAACTTTTGCCGTTTTCAACTTATACAGAATCTGGAATATAATTATAATTAAAAGAAACAATAATAAAATTGTATACATACCTGCAGAGTTCCTGCTCCCGAATCCCAAAATTTTAATGTGCCATCTTGATGTCCAGTGATTACGATTTCCGAATAACTGCACGATGCGGGAAACCATTCCCCGCCATTAATTGGCCACTCTCGTTCAGAAAAACCAGTTTTCTTACTAGTTGTTGTGCGACCAACCTATTGAAATATTTTTTCTTAGTTATATATACTCCAACACTGAAAAAGGTATTGTGTAAACCACAAGATGTACCAGCGTATAACAACGAGACTTTTTTTGTTCAAATTCGTCAGAATTGTCTATAAACAACACATATTTAGTATATTGTTACATTTCATAATTTCACTTTTCTGCAGTATCTTTGCTGTCTAAAAGCCGTTTATAAATACTGGTACACCATCTACTTAGTACAGTAAACGTCAGCAAAAATTCTTACGGAGTAAAAAGCAGGAACCAAATCCGAAGGACAATCAGTTAAATAGGTGCAACATGTAACAGGTGATTCATGTAAGTCCATAGGATAAGGCGATTCAAAACATGGAAAACCGGGCGTGAGTAAGTCTATTAAAACTAAGTCATATTGTAGAAGTACTGCTATCGCATAGGGCTCTTGGGTTTCTAGGAAATCAAGCAATTAAAAAGGCATACAATTTAGTTTTACATAATTTTCAATAATTCTATAATTAACCAAACAAATTTAATAAATTTTCTAAATGTCAGAAAATATATTATTTGTGCTTCGCTGTAATTAAATACTTAGATAATATAAATAAACTTCATAGCTGCTAGTATATATGCTACTAGGGAAAGAAGACAACGACCTGTTAGGGAACACAATGATTCATTCATATTCCCATTCCCGTAATAATACCAATCAGGATATACATATGTAAATATATATATAAATTGTATACATAAATATTCTTGGTATGTATATTATAAATATTATAAATTTGATGATCAAAAATATAACACGTGTCGTTAACTAGATGTTTAGACAATTTTTTTATCCAACAAATTTCGGATTCTACATACTACAAGAATTAAAATGTATCTGATAGATAGTACCACAATTCTTTGTTTCAAAAACTGTACCCTTATTAACTTATAGAAAGGACACATGGCGATGATAGAAAAGAAAAAGAATCATCATCACTGATATTCTATAGTAAACCACAAAAAATTGTGATATACATAAATTCGAAATATTCGATAATAACTAAAAAATTTAGAACTAATAAAGGTTATTATAATTTTAATCCCGTACTTTCTCCAGTGACTTCCTCACATTTAGCTTTTAAATCAAGAAACTAATATAAACCATTTTGTGCGAAACAAAACAACAATTACTTACCGCAGAACCAAGGATTTTCGCAAAGAATAATAAAGTCAACGACAGCGTGTTCCATTTCCAAGACAGTTGTTGATTTCCCAACCATAACAGTTATACAGTTTGATTTAGAACTTTTCTCAGTGGGCATTCCACCAGAAAATATTGTAAATGTATCACTGAAATTAAAAAATACATACGTACATATGTAATGTATATCACACATTATCAAGTACTTAATTTAAAATCACTTACCTCATTTGAGAAGTTTTTAAATCAACTTTATAAATAGGTTTACATTTTTCTATTGTGCCTTCCTTAGAAACTTTAGCTGTGTGTAAAAAATTATATTTGTAACAAATATATAAAACCTGAACATAAATCCACTTATAAATGATAAGAAAATTGAAGTTTCCTTTTAGTTTTCCGCAAATTAAAAGCGTAATCATATTTGTCGACTTTACATTTGTATTTACATTTTTGACATCCAATTATTTAGTAGTGTTTCTGGAAATTTGGAACATTTAAATGAAGATATTTTAACAAAAATTATTTCGAATTTATGTATAACCATATCGAACAAAATATTTATTGAACAAATCGTAAAACAGTAACAACAGAAAGTTGTAGTAGTTCTTGAAAATTGCTATAAATTCTATAATCAAAAAACATTTAAAATTTCAATCTTAGAAGAGATATGAATTGCGCTGACACTTCACAATTTTCTTAGCAATTGCTCGCAGATTTAAATTGTTCAAAAATTCCATGATGTATGTTACTCTGGGATTATGTAATGAATATTTGAATTATTTTGAATAGGACAATAATTTAACTTACCGTGAGGGCAAATAACCGATTGAGGTTTTACTACAGGTTTGGTTGGCCATGTACATATGGAACCATCCGTATGAGAGGAAACAAAGTATTTGCCTTCATAGTGCCAAGCAACCGATTTGACTGGTTCGGTAGCTTGCCAACGAAATTCCGCACATTTACTTTTTAAGTCCCACAGCACAAGAAGACCACATTCAAAAGCAATAAGTAGCTGCAAACAATATTACAAAAAATTGTGTTCACTTATACATATATAAATCTGTTTAACGCACCTTGTTTGCATCTATGGGATTATCACATAACGCAATCACAGCACCAGGATGACTAGTTCTAACCCTAAAAACACAGATTACGGTTATTTAATTACATTTTTTGCATGCTGCTACCAAAATTTAATTTAACACCACCTATCAAAAAATGTTTAGAGTGATATATAAACTTAAAACTTCCAGTTACTATTCATAAGAAAGAAAAGTTCATATAAACACACAACAAAGTGCTTATGAATTCAAAAACTCATTTGTAACTAACCAAAATTACTTAAGTATCTCCTAATGCTCATATTATCATACTTAAAAATAGCAAAACAGAAGGCGATTTTTGGCATAAAAAAAACTAACCAATTGTTTTAAAATTTTAAAGACATATTTGTACATACTTTACGAATACACAAAATTTTACAAATTCATTCGTAACTAGAAGATATTGTACCGACCTACGGTCGAAAAGAATTCAAAAAATTACAAAACGGCGCCGTTTAAAAATTATTGTACGCAGAACATGTCGAAAAAACTTGATAACACTGGTCTACAGTGGTTTTGTTTCCCTAGATATATGATCGATTTGAATATATTTGTTCTAACAACTCACGAAACTGTCTATCATTTTTTTATTTTTGAATCATCATTTCCATTTTATAAAGCAAAAATCTGAAAACATGACACCAAATAACAGAAATATTTATAATGTCAGTTTTGTTTTGAAAAATGAGGATACATCGATATAGCAGAATGAAAAATGTCGAAAACATATGTTATATTTCAGCAAAACTTTTTTTATGAGCATTTCTTTTATAATTTTCCAGTTGACAATCTCTTAACAGTCATAACATTGATAAAATCAGTATCTTTCATTAATTGCCGTATTTGAGAACCATTAAATATTTTAAAGGTAGACTTTTCCTTACCAAGCTTCGGAAATCGGTTACAAATGTTTTCAAAACAATATTGTGATGACTTTTGAAATCCAAACGAAAATTTGCATTGAGTCAAACAAAGACATTTTGTAGACTGTAAGTCTAAATATCTACCCTGAACATAACTGGAAAAAAAGTGTATTACTAACTATAATTGATAATTGATATTTCAATAGTTGATCAAAATGTGCAAATATGCAATAATCAGAAAAACAAGAGCACATTCAATTCATTGAAAGCATCTATTTGGTAAGATGTCCAGGGCAACAAAAAAAAACTTTTTTTGTAGAGCTTGTAGTAATGGAATCATTTGTCTCCGGGTAATAACCCAAACAAATTTGAAAAATGTTTTAGTTTTGAGAAAAACGCGTTCAAGTGTAAACTGATGCAGTTGTTTGAACTAAGCGACTACACTTGAGAAGACTGTTACTCAAGAACTATTTGAGATTTCAATTCAAAATTTTAGGATGTTATTTTGAAAGGTATCTTAAGTAAGCCTATCGAAATATGAAAAAAATTAAACTTTTGTTAATTACAACAGCTTAAGACAACGGCATCACCGTAGGTAGCTCTTAACGATTCATAATCCGTAAACTAACATCCTATCCTAGTTTATTATAAATGCAAATATTTTTGAATAGGTGCAAAAATAATTTATAATATACACAATTTAATACGCCTTACACTTCAATAGCCTTGTTCCAGTTTATTATGTAGCCACTAAGGCTAAATGTTTCCACATGTACCACATGAATATTGCCCCTTTCTGTTCCAACATATAGCCATTTGCTTCCAACAGGTAAGTGAAGGCATGTTACCCTGAAAATATTAAAAATTAAAAAAATATATATCAAAATAAATTTTTTGTATTATAAATTAGTAATCAAACCTCTCTCTTTGAAATTTGAGACTCTGAACTACTTGCGGTGTTTTCTGCCGTATACTCCACAAATGTAATGTGTCATCCGCTGTAACCGTTACAAGTGCTCCCTCATTGATCAGAAATTCTAAAAATATTACTGCACAGTCCGACTCGCCTTCGTGTTTCGCGTGAGCATCTACACCTGGACGTCCAAGTCTATTTTGAGTAATACATAATTTAAAGAAATGTACATTGCATAATCTTAACCTAATCCACATACATTCGAATGAACCCAGATTTATCGCCAATCGCTAGAAGTCTTTGCACGGGGTCAAAAGCGAATGCAGTTGGTGAGTAGGGAAATCCGTGCCGAAAAGTCTGAAATCAATTAGTTCTGATTATTTAATTACATTCGACTAGAGAAATTACAGGCTAGTTGAAAAGTTTCTATTTTCACAAAGAAATAGCACTACTGGCTCCATTTTTTTCCCCTCAAGTTGGCTGTCGCAGCCACACCAGAAATCACTGAGCAAGTTCATAATATTGTTAGTGAAGATCCAAGTTTGACTCAGCACGAAATTGCTAATGCCTAGAGATCAGGAGAATTACATATGAAAAAGCTGTTTGGAAAGTTAGTGCCGGCACACGTTAACAATTCAACAAAAACTGGATCGAAAACAAAGTTCTCAGCATAATTTGAATAGTTTTAAGCAGAATAAAACCAATCTATTGTGTCGTTTTATAACTATAGATGAGACTTGGATCTACAACCATGATCCTAAATTGAAACCAAAACGTTTACAGTGGACTGAAGCTGGTTGTTCAGCTCCAAAGCAGGTGAAGTCATAACGATCAGCAAAGAAGGTTATGGCACCAGTTTTTTGGGATGCAAAAAAAAAAAATTTGTTGATTGATTATCTGCAGAAAGGTAAAACAATCAACTCTTAATATTATTGCAACATTTTGGATCAGCTGGATGATAAAATTCGTGAGAAAACACCTGGTTTGCAGCACAAAAAATAATTTTTCATCAAGACAATACCCCTGCTCACAAAGGTCTTTTAACAATGACAAAATTCAACGAACTAAAGTACGAATGGCTTGAGCATCCACCGTATTCACCAGATTTGGCGCCCAGTGACTGCTACCTCTTCAGAAATCTGAAACAATTCCTTCGCGGAAAACGTTTTTCGTCGAATGAAGAAGCTATTACAGCCGTAGACGGGTATTTTGCAGAGCTTCCGGAAAGTCATTACAGGGATGGCATAAAATTATTGGAGGATCATTTTAATAAGTGTATTGAAGTTGAGGGAGATAATATTGCACAAAAAAAAATATTTCGTACCAAAAACAGTATTTTTTCATTTCGAGCGCCAAAACTTTTCAACCAACCTGTATACATAAAAATTTGGAAGTTCAAGTTGGAAGTGTACGTTAACAGCCTTGATTTTCAGCGGGTTAAAGTAGTTTACATATATTCAGATTTTCTCTGTAACAACAAGGAAATAACAGTCAAATTCATAAGCCATATGTGATTTAAGACAATTATGAGCTTTAGATTATTATATTATAGATAAAAATTATTTTACCATAAATAAATAAACAACATACTAGCTTTTTATTTGTATATTAGGGGCACAACCAAGTTCCCGCTGTTTGTCAATAGCTTGCTCCAGCAGTTCGTGGTGATAGATTTTGATGTATCCAAAACGTTATAAACTTAACCTAGTCATTTGAAAAAGAAACTGCGTTTCCACATTAGTGACTTTAATTATAAGTCATTGGTTGTGCGAATATGTCCGATTTTTTGTCAAATAATTGTCATTTGAATTGGAGACGTTGATCGATGAGGATCAGTGTCAAACGCAAGAAGGGCTTGCCCACACCGCCTCATCCGCCAAGCCATTTCATTTCAAAAAGCGGCCTCAATATCAGGAGAGGCACGAAAAAGTGATTTTGCTGCATGACAACGCTCGGCCTAACGTTGTCAAACCCGTTAAAACCTACCTGGAAACCCTTAAATGGGAAGTCTTACCCCATTCGCCATATTCCTCAGATATTGCACCGGCTGATAATTATTCGTTCCGTTCGACGGCACATGGTCTGGCTAAGAAGCAGTTCCACTAACAAGACGACATCGAAAAATGGCTTGAATCTGGATAGTATCACAAGATGAACAGATTTACCGTAATAGTATTCGAGCTTTACCAAAATGATGGGAAAAAGTCGTGACTAGCGATGGGCAATACTTCGAGTAACTCGTTTGTAACCATTTCCTTACAATATAATAGCATTTTTACTAAAAAAAAAAAAACTGCGAAAACTTAGTTGCGTACCTAATAATTAACAATCTATATTATTGTCGGAAAGGTTTCCGATTCGTTTTGCCTGTAATCTATTCCTACAAAATTTATTTTTTAAAACACCATGATGATAGCTCTGTTAAATTTTACTATTATCTTTGTGTTCAAATTAAACAAAAGTGTGCTTTTGTTGTCGTGCCAAAAAAATAGAATCAATGAATAAAAATACCAATTAGTTAACAATTATATTGTAAGTATATAATCAGTAGGATATTTGTTCTTGACATTTTGCTATAATTAAGTATTATTTGTAGAAGAAATGAGCCGAGGAAAGCATTGCACAGCGGCAGAGTGTAAGCTCATAAAAAATTTGCAAAATAACGGTTATACCCGAAGGGAAATTGTAAAAGCGATTCCAAAAATGTGTGTTTACTGCTTTGAAACCTCCGAAAGAATGTTAATTGAGGGGACAACCACGAAAACGACATCTCAGGATGACAATTACATAGAGATTTTATCACAACGCGAATGTTTGAAGTCCTCTGTACCTATCCCAAAAGCTCTGTACCTATCCAAAAAGAACTGGGTATAGAAATTTTTTCGAGAATTGTTGTGTGTCGCCTTTTGAAAAAGAAACTCTTCGGAAGGTTGTTCCGGAAAGTCCCAATATTGAAAAAAGGACAGCGGAACAAATCCGATTGTTTTGCTTCAGCCCATATCAATTGGACCGGTGAAAAAAATGCAAGATCCTTTGGTCCGATGAATCTAAAATAAATATGGTAAGTAGCGTAGGGAAATTTTGAGTTCGATGTCCAAAGAATGCTGAAATGAATCCCCGTAACACGACAAAAACTTTCTAACACGGTGGTGGTAATATTATGATATGGGGATGTTTTTCGTGGTCCGTAGTTGGACCGCGGTTTTGGATTCGAGAAACCACGAACCGTTATCACTACCTTGGAATTCTAGAATATGTAATGCCTCTTTATGCAGAATGGAATATGCCCTTAATTTGGTAGTTCCAGCATGACAATGACACGAAGCATACCTCAAGTGTGGTCAAGACTTGGCTACTGTGCCAAGGAATTGATATTACGACTTGGCCATTAAACCACAAAATAAGGAAGAACTGTGGGAAAAAGTCCCAGAGGCGTGGTATTCAATACTGAATTCAGTCTGTAAAGCTCTAGTGAAATCAATGCCCAAGGTGTGCACTGCCGTAGTCGCAAATTAAGATTTTCCAACAAAATCCTTAACTTATATGCAATTCTCACTTATAGTTTTAATAGTCTACTATATACGAGTTTTGGCTCCATCATTATATTTTATTGTTAGTTGAAGTTCTTCACAGTTCCTTTAAAAGTTGTCTGCTGATAATACTAAAATTTATATGAAGTTATTTTTGCTTTAGAAATGTTTAAATAAATAGTAATAAGAACTGTGGTAACACTTTTTTTACAAATAGTTGTGAATAAAATGTTGATTCTATTTTATTGTAAGTAACCTATATGTATGTAAATCTCGAAAGAACAATAAAATTAAGTTACATATAATATATCATTATTGGCTATATATTTCTTTTTCCGAAAAAAATTTTTCTGATACATTGATAAACTTTTCTTTTAAAATTCATTATCTTTTCACACACGCATACATATGTATGTATATTCAATAACCATTTGCCTAAAAATATATATAATTTAATTTATTTATTAAATTATCACAATTTGAATGCAAACACAATCAATCTAGAATTGCGTTGATGACAAAAAAATGTAATAGCCGCGTGTGTCTTATGATAGTTTCAATTTCCGCTACCAAATAAAACAAACGCCAGCTACAACATTTCATTATATATTTCTTTCTTTTTCCGAAAGAAGTCCAAGGTTTTAGAATATGTTTACAAAAGATATAAGAATTTTAATTACCCTTTTAAGTGAAAAATGTTCCGCCTTTAAATGTTCCGGAATTTCCTGCTCTTGTCGGTAAACCTGTGGTTGCACGCTTTGTCGAAAACCATCAAGGACTCCCTTGAATGTAAATTTTTTCATTTTCGTGTGAGTACAATTTTACTTCGAAACTTTAACGACCCGTTTGATTCCCGAGTTCTGCAAGAAAAACACAGATATCAAGTTTAAGTCTTTAATAACTCAAAAATAAATAGTGAAGATAAAAAACAATTGTTTTGCAAATTCGACAAAATTCTATACATGCAGTCATACATATTTTAACACTTAAGAATATTATCCTTTACGATCTCTTGAGGTACTTGCGATAACATAAGAACTCTTTGAAAAGTCTAGATAAAAGAAAAGAAACGGGTCAACGAATGAACTGTAACATTCGTAAACTAAAATAATAAATTACTTATGACTTCAGCTTTTTGACAAAAGATAAAGAATGCTTCTTTACCTATTTAAGAAAACGTTTCGTGAAAATTCATCGCTCAGATATCTACATTGAAAAAGTCACTAATCGAATGAAAACTTAATATGGTAAAGACAATTCCCATCGAGACCTATTCAATTGTGGAAATTTATGCATTTTAAATCTATTTATAAGTTCTATATCTTAAAAGTTTTCGATCCTCAAGTCGATAGACGTCAGCACCTGGCGAAACGACATAGAAATGTCGCTGGCCACTTACAAGGCAATCGGCCGGCTGATCTACAATTACGCAGGCCCAAAATGGTCGCCTGAATGCAGCAAGTCGTAGCTGAAACAGATACAGACTAGTCATAACACCACACTCCGGAATATCACAGGATGTCTCTTGATGTGCCCCGTCGAACACCTTCATAGTGAGACCCTCTTGCTTCTGGTTGAGGAACATAATGCACCCTCCATCCAATCAGTTTCTGTTGGAATGTTCCGTGAGCTCGAGTTTCCGAGTGAAACTAGAGAGACTCTAGCGCAACTACGTAGCTACCAGTTGTTCTGATGTCGTTATCAACAAGATTCTCCATGTCATTAAGTAGGGAAGAAGTTAGGCTAATCAGCGTGTAGGACAGTTCTCCACTTATTTGGGATATAATACTAGTTGCTTTCTATAAAGAGTATCTTTCAAATTGACTAAAAAGAATTAACTTCCCATACCCAAATCCAGCATTTATAAGAATAATAAGACTAAGCTCTAGAAACTGGAATTAAAAGTAAATGTAAATTAAAACTATTGTTTCGACTGGTAATGCTGCAGCAAATTTTTTTGAACAAAATATTGATTTTGGGAGAAAGCATCAATTCTTGCAGGAGAATTCGACATCCGAAATGTTTATGAAGACAACTCTACCAACAATAAGTTTTGTTATACTAACATGTATCTACAGGCATTAAACCAATAACTGAAACTATATTTTGTAAATAACTTTAAATTTAAATCTACGTGTGATAACTAACATGAGCTATTGTTTTCGACACAGATACATATTTTGCAACTTAGAATTTAAAAAATGCGAAAATTTTCTAGCGTCGCTTTTTAAGAAAGAAAATTATTGGCAATATCTTTGTTGAATATGTGTTGCTGGACACTGAAATGTACCGTATAGTTAATGCTTTCATAATCGTAAATTTTTAACAGGAATTATGTGCATTATCATATTTTTAACACTACCGATTACACAACACTTCAAATGTAATATTTATCTTTTAAAATCAAACTGAAGCCATCGAAAAGCTTCTCTAATTTTGTCCAGCAGTATATATGCAACGGCTTTTAAGTACATAAATACAGAAATGCTCCAACTTCCCATATGTAACACTATTATTATAGAAATATTTTTAACGAAAAGAGGGTTTGAGTTGGTGTACTATTAAAAACTATAGCATCAACTAACTGAACAACAGGTTAGATAACAAATAAGGAAGAGCTAAGTTCGGATGTAACCGAACATTTTATACTCTCGCAAAGTCAAATGGTATACTCGTTTTAGATTTCTTTGTGGATCTTGCCGCCTTGTTCTACAAGTATGCTGACCGATATTTTCGGTAAAAAGTCAACTATAGGCATTGGAGTCCTAGGGGCTTGAACAGTTTTGGTTCAATTTAGATAATTTTTGGTCACAAGGTGGCACAATGGCTTAAACGCATTATTTACGCAAAGTTTTACCCCGATATAATCATTTTTGCTTGATTTACATAGTGGAAAGTGAAAAAATCAGATGAAATTTAAAATGGTTTTATATGGGAAATAGGCGTGGTTGTAATCCGATTTCGTTCATTTTCGCACTATAAGATAGAAATATGAAAAGAATATTGTGTACTGAATTTGGCTAAAATCAGTTAAGCAGATCCTAAGGTATGGGTTTATTTAATGTCTCTGGATTGTTTAGTGCTTGATTTATCGCGCTTTTAGTAGTTTTTAACAGTACCGTTATATGGGGAGTGGGCGGGGTTGGCACCCGATTTTTGTTCGCAGTGAATTTTGTTATTATAGCTTCAGTGGTATAGGAGATATGCACATTTAACTTATAAGGGACCACGCCCACTTTAAAAAAAAATTTTAACTGCAGATGGCCCTCCCTAATGTGATCCTGTATACCAAATAAGAGTCTTGTATCTTGTTGTGGAGCTTAGTTATGGCAATTTATTTGTTTTTGATTAACGGAGTTTTGTGGGCGTGGCAGTAGTCCGATTACGCCCATCTGCAATACGAACCGCCTTACGGTACCAAGAAACATGTGTAGCAAGTTTCATAAAGATATCTCAATTTTTACTCAAGTTACAACTTGCACAGACGGACGGACGGACGCACAGACAGTCACCCGGATTTCAACTCATCTCTTTCTCCTGATCATTTATATATATATAACCCTATATCTAACTCGATTTGTTTTAAGTTGCGAGAGTATAAAAATCAAGAAGAGTCCATGTGAATGTTCACCAAATCTTTACAATCGTAAGAGAGTGCACATTACGGTTTCTTTGTATTTTATTATACGTATGTATATGTATATAACCTGTGTCTATATTGTACATCTGTTTGTACACCCTAATATTGTTCTGTTTTCTGTATAAATGTATAAATTCTAGTAGATATTATTTGGCGGGAATTATCACAGAACATACATAAATATAAAGAGTATTTACTGTGTTTTGAACTACTATGTATGTTCACTAAAAACTACAATTTGCTTCTCCAATTCGATATCAGTCTTGATAAGAAGATAGAGATGAATACTGTAAGGATATTGTTATACACACACAAACACACATACATTTTCCTGTGTGATTATATAAATTAGGGTGTCCGTTATTTCACAAGTTAATTTTTTTTTTGCAACCGTCTTCTGAAGTTTCAGTTTTTGCTCTAAAAAACGTAAACAAGTTCTTTATTAAACCTTATTTCTTTTCCCATGTATATAATATAGGAGTTTCTGATATTTTCCATTAAACAAATAAACCTTCAACCTTGAAAAAATATATTCTATTGTATATATTATCTTCTTATATTCTACTACAAAATGCTTCATTGTAGAAAAAGGTTTTAATGATTTTCTTCATAAAATCACTACTTTAAAAGTTATTAGTTTACGTTGGATCCATTATTAGGGCAAAAGCTAAAACTTTAGGGCGTTTGCAAATAAAAAAACAACTTACGAAAAAAATGTACACCCTAATATATATACACAAAGTACATAACTATAACTGCAAACATTTTTGGTATAAATAGCACAAAGCTTTACATTGCTTTGCTCAACCTGCTTTTGCGAAAAGGTACAAAAGAGTGCTAAAGTGCACATCACATTATATATTAGTTTAAATTTATTGATTTTTTTTACAGATTTTGTAGACATTTGGACGTAAGATGCCAAATCTGCTAAGAATACAAGTAAACAGATTTAATTGAAAACTAAATTTACAAAGACCAGCATCCATGTATTCATAGAAATCATCAAAAGAAATTAACTTTTGTAAGCTACTGATATTTTTAAATATTTAGAGATTCTGAAGAACTACATCAACATATTCCTAGCAGAAAAATAAATATGTAATTAGGTATATACACAAGTTTTAAATTCTTAAACACTTACGTTTCGCAACATATTGAAGAAACTTAACACTTTTCACAACGATTTTAATTACTAATTCCGGTAACGGTGTAATAAAATTTAAACTTAAATGCTACTTTAAACATTACTTCAGTTACAGCACAAGGTTAAAGTTAATGAAGATTTGCAAATAACTCAATTGATTTTTCCCCACAAAAATATAGCTTGCAATCTTTTGTCGCACTGAAAAAATTCCGAAAATGGCCGAACTTTCCTATATTAGTGAGTAATTGGGTTTTTTTAAAAGCACATACATTACATTAAATTTTAACATTATGCTATCATAATTTGTAGGGGTTATAATAATTTAATTCTATATTTTTCATTTTTTTAGATTAACACTTCTTGTAGGAAAATGTGGATAAGTCTGTTATAGGACAATTGCCAAACGGGAGTTGAATGTGTTAGCGAATGCGCATGTTTACAACTTGGCACTGTCCAGGGTTGAATAATGTACAACAAGACTTAGAGTAAAAGCTTGCATGGTGGTGTAAGCTTATGGTCACATGATAGCTTTGTCGGGGTATATCAATGTTTTCATCGCCACCAATTCACGTTTACATTTTATAATACTGAAAGCTTTCCTAAATGTTACGACGCATTATTTCGGCTTTCATATGGAATTTTAACTCAAACGTTATTCCTATATAACAAAGTCATACAGAATTGCTGAATAAAATATGTACATACTTACTTACATGCATAGGGAATTTATATAAACAAAATCTAGGTTTCTTTTGTGAGAATTTTTGTTTGCAATTTTAGTGCATCTTGCGCTAGTAAATGTTAGTGCTTACTGTTAATAAAAGCTTATTGCAGATTAAAATTAGAGAACTTATACATGTTTAAATATGTTTTTGGGATTTCTTTTATTTATAAAATTACTGTATTTCGGTATTGAATGGTAAGAAATGATTTTTTTAAAACAAACAATATTATTATCTAAAATCCGGAAATTTAAGTTGAATTAAAGAGTTGCCAAGAATGAATGCAACTTATAGAATTTATCAATTATAAATTCCAAATTGGCCAAGTGGTTTATGAAATAACAGTATACACTTTTAAAATATGCAATTTCGAAATTTATGATCTAACAAATAAAATTTTACTGACTATCATCCATGCAAGTTAACGGCACCTTCACACAGTAGCTTTGCCGTAACTGTAAATAAAATTGTATCTTAACTTTTGTAAATATGTAGTCGCATAAGTAAAATTTGTATTAACGTTTTTGTTCATTTAAGAATTCGATATGATTTTTCATTCTGAATCGAATAATCAATTTTAATCAAACCATTAGTGGTGGCCCTCACAAGAAGGTATAACAATAATAATTGTAAACAAAAACGAACTTTATGCCGAAATATGTTGAATAGCTAAAATTGTAATTGTCACTTTCTTTGTTCTGAATTCAATAATTATTGCGAAGTAGATTTAAAACGTATAAGCAATACAAAAAGTTGAAAGTAAAGGGGATTGTTTTCCCGTCAATCAAAAGAACCACAGGTGTTCTTATTTTTTTCGTGCGTTAGCAGATATAAAGTATATTTTTTCAAAATTTCCTCGTAAAGGGAATTAATTAATTGGCGCCCAACGTGGGCCACGTGTAAGTCAAAACAATATCCTTGGCAAGACAAAGGGAGAAAACTACAAAGTATCCCTAGCCAAAGGATAATCAATCGTGAAGTGCAGTGCGTGTGTTTCGTGAATGATTAGGCACAACTGAAATCCTTGGCAGGACAAAGGGAGAAAACTACTAAGTATCCCTAGCCAAAGGATTATCGATCGCAAATAAGAGAAAAGTAAAACTAAACAAGTAAGAAAGGCTAAGTTCGGGTGGAACCGAACATTTTATACTCTTGCAACTTGCAAGGATCAAAGCAAAGGTTCTAATGAGTTAATGTGAAAACGTCAACCAGATGATCGCAATTCATTATTTTAGGGACGAAATTGATTTTGCTTATTTTAGGCATATTGGCTGATATATACGATATAAAGTCACCCGGAAGTTCAATAACCTTTATATCAGGTATATGGGGGCTAAGAAAAATATTGACCCGATTCAACCCATTTTTGTCACTCAGACATACTATCATCAGGAGAGCATTCTCTCCGAATTTCAATTATACATCTCACACTTGACCGATATTTTCGGTAAAAAGTCAACTATAAACACAGTTTTGGTTCGATTTGGACATTTTTTGGTCATAAGCACACTTTAGAGGGCCTATTCGTTTTATCTCGATATATCCTTTGGAGCATTATTTGTACACTGGAATGAAAAAGAATCAGATGGAATTTAAAATTGTGTTATATTTCTCATTACAAACCAGAAGTGATTAATTCCGAAATTCGATGTGACGAATAATAATAAAATCATTACCAGAATTTTGTGGCAACAGAACAAATATGTTAGCTGGAGAGAATCAGTTAATAATGCAATGAGTTTATATGTATGTAAGATACAGCCGAAGATATTTTGCTGCATTAATAATATTGAAGAATAAAATTACACACGATGCTAATGATATATTATCTAAACATGGCACGGTACTTTATTTTGATGCATTTTTGGCACAACTTGATTTCGCTTACGCTAACAAGCGACCAGCTCATATTACTGAGCAAGAAATGAGTATTTTACGCAAAGACGATTATTCAATTATTGAATATTATAATAAGGTTAATAACAAAAAATTAACCTTGTTGATTAATAAAACAATAATGACTTACGGCCAAACGATTTACTAAATGCATTGACAAAAGCACAGAAATTGGAATCAAATAATATACGAACAACTTTTGCATTACATTTCGGGAAAATCCGAATCATTTAACAATAATAGGCAGCGTAATAGTTTTAATAATAATAACTGCAATAACGGGAATTTTAATAACAATTTACGGTTTCCACAATGTCAACTTCAAAGAGGTTATGATTAAAGGATAGTTCAGCAGCACACACGAAACCGAATACAGCAAAGGCTGATAAAATTTAACTAAAACAATAATATAATAAAAAGGACACATGACAGTACACAGCAGAATGTGCAGCCACCGCTAAAGACACAGTGCATTAACAACATTAAGGAAGGTAATTTTTTAGACCAAAATTAGTTCTATCATATATTTTTCTACGTTACAGGGTTGATGGCCAAAATTTTAAAATATTTGTAGAAACGGGGGCAAAAAGTTGCTATATTAAATCAGGAATTTTTAAAAATAAGAACAAATTAGATATATACTTTTAAAAGAGTAAAAGCAGTTAATGGATTTTCGATAATACGTTATTATGCAGTGATCAACTTGAAAAAAAATAAGTTGATAATAAATAATGAATGAGAAGATATATTTAACTTAGGATGTGAATCTGAGCATCAAGAGACTAAAGAAAATTTAAAAGATAAAAATTTTAAAGAAGACAAAATTACTTTGGGAGCAAAGATTTTTTAAAGGCCACCTGAAGAATTATACCAGCGCAATAAAGATAATAATTACAGAAAATATATTGTGGAACCAAAATGTTCGAAAACGCCAGCCTATGGTAATACCGGCAACAAAAATAAAAAAACAAGTAAGGAAGGGCTAAGTTCGGATGTAATCGAACATTTTTTACTCTCACAAAGTCAAATGGTATACTCGTTTCAGATTTCTTTGTGGATAGACTGATATTTTCGGTAGAAGGTCAACTATAGGCACTGGGGTCCACATATTTAGTACTTAGGGGCTTGAACAGTTTTGGTTCGATTTAGATAATTTTTGGTCACAAGGTGGCATATTTTAAACGCATTATTCAAGTAAAGTTTTACCCCGATATAATCATTGTTGCTTGATATGCATAGTGGAAAGTGAAAGAATCAGATGGAATTTAAAATGGTGTTATATGGGAAATAGGTTGTAGTCCGATTTTCGCCAATTTTTGCACTACGACATAGAAATATAAAAAGAACGTTATACACCGAATTTGGTTGAAATCGGTTAAGCAGGTCCCAAGATATGGGTTTTCACCTAAAATGGTGCCACGCCCACTGTCTAATTTTGAACGCGGTTCCTATAAAGTTATCTCATACCATCCCAGAGATAAAATTTAATGTCTCTGGCGTGTTTCGTACTTGATTTATCGCGCTTTTAGTAGTTTTTAACAGTACCGTTGTATGGGGAGTGGGCGGAGTTGCCACCCGATTTCAAATATTTTCACACTGTAGGTAGAGGTTCTAAAAACATTTGCTTACAGTGAATTTTGTAATTAGAGCTTTAGCGGTTTAGGAGATATGCACATTAATCCTATTAGGAACGGGACCACGCCCACTTAAAAACAAATTTAACTGCAGACGCCCCTCCCTAATGTGATCCTGTGCACCAAATAACAGTCTTGTATCTTATTGCGGAGCTTAGTTATGGCAATTTATTTGTTTTTGATTAATGGCGTTTTGTGGGCGTGGCAGTGGTCCGATTACGCCCATCTGCAATACCAATCGTCTCCCGGTACCAAGAAACATGTCTACCGAGTTTCATAAAGATATCTCTATTTTTACTCAAGTTAGAGCTTGCACGGACGGACAGACAGTCACCCGGATTTCAACTCGTCTCTTCATCCTGATCATTTATATATATATAACCCTATATCTAACTCGATTAGTTTTGGGTGATACAAAAAACCGCTAGGTGAACAAAACTATTATACTCTGTAGCAACAGGTTGCGAAAATATATTGTGGAACAAAAAAGTTCTACAAGCCAATCGATGTATTTACCGACAATAAAGAAAACAAAATTACCACCCCTTGCCCCGCTCACATCGGAATGGGATCGAGTTGGTTCTCCGCTAACGTCTTGTATTCTGGCTCTGGACCAATGGACCTCGCATGCGCTCAGCAGACGCTGGTCGACGACCAACTCCTGTGCGACTGCGCGATCCTTCTGGCCGAGAGTGGACCGCAGGAGGCCGGGGGATCTTCTCGCCTTGAACAAAGTTCACCTCGCCGCCATGGTAGGAGTTCTCACTGGGCACTGTCCAATGGGAACTCATGCGGTGCGGCTTAGAATACAACCCGATGGTAGTTGTCAAAGCTGTATGGTCGAGGGCGAAGTGGAAACATCCCGGCACTTTCTCCTCCACTGTCCGGCTTTTGCTAGGCTGAGAATGAAACATCTCGGCAATCACACCTTTGGCGAACCAGAAGATTTAGCCGAAACGGATATAGGCCGTCTCAACAAGTTTGTCATAGGCACAAAGCGCTTTGTCGGCATGTAAGGGTCTATTGATCTGTCTTATAGGAGTTTTGGGTACCACAACGGCGTTTAAGCTGTCCAAGTGTGATCCTTCTTGGGATCGACCCTCTAACCTAACCTAGTACGTGTTTGTCAGAAATATTAAATAAAAAAGAAAAGTGCAAAAAATTTAAAAATAATAATTTCCAAATAAAAGGAATTATGA